ATTTTTAAATGAAGCTATTTATAAAGCACATCAAAAAAAAGCTTCCTATAATAAATGAAGCAAAAATGTGCAAAATATTATTGTATGTTAGTCATTAGGAAAATTCAAATCAAGCCCACAATGATATAGCACTCACACCTACAAGGAGTGTAATCAAGCCAGAACCCTCTCATACTGCTGATGGGAATTTGCAGTGGCACCTCACCTTGGACAACAGGTTAGCAGTTCCCCAGAAAATACACATAGAACGTAAGACCCAGCAATTCCATGCCTAGGTATAGAATCCCCAGAAGAACTGAGACTATGCGCGCATGAAAACGTACGCATGAGGCTCATAGCAGCATTACCCGGCATGGCCCCAAAGCATTAACAACCCTAATGTCTATCAGTTGATAAGTGGATAAATATGTTATTCAGCCCTAGAAGGAAATGAGGTTTATCTAGGTATCATGGCACACATCAGTAATTCCAGCTACTCAGGAGGCTGAGGCAGGAAGATGGTGAGCTCAAAGCCAATCCGATTTGGGAAACCCGTGTCTGCCGGGCGTGGTGGCGCACGCCTGTAATTCCAGCACTTGGGAGGCTGAGGCAGGAGGGTCGTTGCAAGTTCGAGGCCAGTCAGAGACCCTGTCTCAAAAAGACCAAAAAAAAAAAAGGAAAAAAAGAAAACTGTCTGAAAATAAGTACAAGGGTGCAGTTAGGTGGTAAAACATTTGCTTAGCATGCTTGAGACCTTGGGTTCAATCCCCAGTAGTTCACACATGCATACATACACACACAAAGGTGAATTTTGTGGTGTATAAATTGCACCTCAATTTTTAATTTTTTAAAAATAACATTACTGTGTGAAATTAAATGGACAAGAAAACTCAGTAGGTGAACATACCAGTTATTCTCAAATCCCAGGTTTAAGGCAATCCCTGTCAAAACTCCAGCAGTTCTTACCCCTGAAATTCATAAGCTGCTTCTAGAAGACATATTGAAATGCGAAGAAAAAGTTGTTTATATGAAACATAAAAACAAAGGACAAACCCAGAGACCTTCTGTACCAATACTGCAAACGACTCCGAAGCCGAGTTATTCGGCCAGCGGGGACCAGCACAAGAACAGGCAGAGAATAAGGCAAGACAGTCGCACCCCGAACCACCCACATCCCAGCCACCCGCACCCGAGACTGGGGACAGAGGTGACAGGGCGGGGCATGGGGGCAGGGTGGCTCTTCAGGGCTGGTGGGGTCAGCTGGAGAGAATATCCGAGGACAAAACTGTCACCTGACCCTGGTTTTAGATTCCTGGGGCTTCTGTAAAAAATTACCAGCAGCCTGGTGACTTAAAACAACAGAACTCTACTCCCTCCCAGGTCTGCGGGACAAAAGTCCAACATGAGTGTTCCCGGCCCGAAACGCAGGCACTGGCGGCGCCACGCTCCCCCGGAGCCGGGAAGAACCCTTTGCTCGCCTCTTCCGACTTTGGGAGGCCGTGGTTTTGCCTGGTTTGTGGCAGTGTTGATCAGAAGTTTAAGGCAGGCTCCGCGCTCCAGCTTCCTTCCCCTGGCTCTATGTGCACACATGTGCACGTGTGGAACCTCCCGGCTTCCTCCTACACCTGGGATTGAATTCAGCGCCTGTCTGGATAATCCAGGATAATCTCCCTGTCTCGAGTTCCCTCACTGAATAGCAGCTGCAAAGGCTTTGCCATGTACAGGGACAATCGCAGGTTCCTGCGTGCCTATCTTTGGGCCGCATATTCCAGTCTATTGCAACCCCTACCTCACACCATGAGCAGAAAGAAATTCCAGGCCTCGTGGTGAAAGATTAAAACAGTGAAGCCTTAGAAGAAAAAATAAGACAACGTCTTCATGACCTTGGATAGCTAAAGTTTCTTCAAACTAGAAAGAAAAGCACTAACCATAAAACATCTTAAAAATAGCAAGGCATAGGGGCTGGGGATTTAGCTCAGTGGCACAGCGCCTGCCTGGCAAGTGCAAGGTCGTGAGTTCGATTCCTGGTACCAGGAAAAAAAAAAAAATAGCCAGGCATGGTAGTGCACACCTGCAATCCCAGCACTCAGGAGGCTGAGGCAGGAGAATCATTGTGAGTTCGAGGCCAGCCTGAACTACATAGTGAAACACTGTCTCAAAAAGATCTTTGGCTGACAAAGATTAGCCAGGCTCAGTGCTGCTTGCCAAGAATGCCAGCTGCTCAGGAGGCTGAAGCAGGAGGATCACAAGTACAAGGCCAGCCTGAACAAGCAAGTGAGATACTCTCAAAATTTTAAAAATTGTTTTGAAAAAAGACAGCTGCGAATATAGTTCAATGCTCCCTGGGTTTGATCCCCAGTACTGAAGAAAAAAGATAAACTAACCTAAAACATTTAATGAGGTGAAAGAAAAAGGAAGCCACAGATGGGAAGAGATAGTCCACACACACCACAGAGACCTTTTCTCAGCACAGTGAAAGGACAAATCAATAGGAAAAAGGAAAAAAAGTAGAGGGCAAAAGTGAGAACTAGGATGGCAAGAAACTCATGGGAAAGTGCTCAGCTACTTTAGTCCCCAAAGCAGACTACAGATTGGCCGGTCACACTCTGTACCCACAAAACGGCTAGGAAGGTGTAGTGGATTGACAACGGGTGGTCAATTTATAACTCCCAGCTGAACTGAGTGAGCGTGGTGCTGGGTGTGGGAGGCCCACCTGGGGATTGTTACCAGCAGCATAAGAGGCAGAACAGGAGAAGAAGAAGGAGGCTGGGAGCGGAGAAAGGCTGTTGGGAGCTGGTGGAAACCGTAAGGTGCTGTTGGTTCTGTTGGAGGAGCTCGTCACGCTGGCTTTCCTGATGAACTTCGCAGTTTTCATCCTCCAAGGAGCTCAGGACCTCGTTGGCACTGAATAGCTTTGGTTCATTTTGGAGGAGCTCTGGTCCTCACTCCGAGCATCACTTCCTGGATCCAAGGGGAAGATGGTGCACTGTCAGTGTCCTGGAGAAGCTTACTGCGTTGGCTTTCCTGATGGGAGCTCAGCTGTCTTGATCATCAGAGGAGCTCAGGACCTCACTGTTGCTGATGATGGCTGTGGTACTTTTAGAGGGAGCTCTGGTTCTTATTTTGCATTTTGCTTCCTGGCTCCAGTGTAGATCCCTCGGCCTGCTAGCACAGATCCTTCATCCCACTGGCACAGACTTTCTAGATTCCACCACTGACCTCTGGGCCTTCCCAGCACAAATCTGTGAAACAGGCCTGCATGAGACATTGTTATGGGCTGTAGGCCTCCAGCTGGATTCATGGAAGGCAATGTTATGGGCTCTAGGTCTTTAGCTGGACTCATGCAGGGCAATATCGTGGGATCCAGGCCCTCGCTGGATTCTCTGGTCTTTAGTGTGTGAACAGATTTCCTGCACTGTCTTATATATGATTCTTTGGGTGACTATATAAATAATCTTATAAAATGTGTCGTGTATTATATTGTTCCCCTTGAAATAACCCCCAAACCACAACAGAAGGTAAAAGCCACGAGCCAGGCATGGTGGTGCACACCTCTAGTCCCAGCACTTGGGAGGCTGAAGCAGGAGGATGCTGCAAGTTCGAGGTCAGGCTGGGCCACATAATGAGACCCTGTCTCAAACCTCCCCTCTCCTCCAAAAAAAGAAAAGAGCAGAAAATGCTCAGTGTCAGTGGGGATGTGGAACCCATGACCCATGAGCACATGAGCCATTACAGTCCTTTGGGAAAACTCTCCACCCTTTGGCAGTTTCTGCATGTGGAGGGCCACCTGGGCAATTCTTCTTGAAAGAAGAGCAATTGTCTCCATTCTGGCTAAACCTGGCCCTATTTCCATACATGCAGACTTGGCTAAGTTTTGTCTTTGTCCCCTCAATTGGCTTCAAGCAATGCAAATGGGTCTAGCAGAGGTGCTGATGCAGGTCTTGAAAGCAATGTGTCAGGTCACTGTTGCTGCACACGTAGCTCCCAAGTAGTACTGTGAGCTCGGCCGAGTGACATCACGCTGCCGGCTGGGATTGAGCCTTGAGAAAAAAAAGCTGTGACATCTCAGGGCATGATGATTACACCTCAAAACTAATGCACCGACTCCAAAACACTACATGCTGCCCCAATCTGTGATATGCAGGTTACTCTTTCTGCATCTCTCTGCACACTGCAGGGGTGATTTCAGGCCCCTTACCTAGCCCAGCTCACAGCACTCACGTACTTCCCGCCATTCTCACAGTCACCCATCCCCCAGCCGCTGCCTTCTTCACGAATTAATGAAACCTAGGTTTGGCCCTGGGTCGAGGTCTTTGTTCCAGTGAGCCACATTCTAGCTGGACTTACTACAAATATGCCTTACTGTCTTTATTCTCCCCGTAGGTTGCACCGGAAGTGGTAGATTAGAATTACCTTATTAGAATTCCAATAACTTTCCCCTGGGATTACAAATATAAACTTCCCAGACTGCACCGAGGTCCAGAAGGGCTTTCTATATCTGCCCACTGGAACATATGTGGGCTTTGCCCAGCCGCGCCACTTCTAGGCCTGTACCCACAGGAGCGGGCATGCGTGGGGCCCAAAGGCCTCGGACGGCATTCACAGCAACACTATCCACAACAAGTGAAGCCTGGAGACTACCCAGTATTCCATGGAGAGCAGAAAGGGTGAAACGAAATGTGGTGAATACACACAGAGGAGGACAACAAGGCCACGCAGGTATCACAAACACACCAGAGCCGGGCGTGGTGGTGCGCACCTGTAATTCCAGCACTTGGGAGGCTGAGGCAGGAGGATCCTTGCGAGTTCGAGACCAGCCTAGGCTACAAAGTGAGCTCGAATCCAGCCTGAACTGCATAGCAAGACCCTGCCTCAAAAAAAGACAAAAAAAAAAAAAAGAAAGAAAGAAAGAAAGAAATCTGTACCAGGACAAGGCTGTGGAGATGGGTAGAGGAAGCCATCTGCCTCTGCCAGTCCAGAGAAACGGTTCTAGAGCAGCCCTCTGGCCTCACCACCATCCTGGACTTCCTGCCCCCAGACCTTTAAGAGGATAAATTTGCCCCTTCAGTCTGTGGTGCTTTGTCTCAGCGCCCCCAGCAGACTCACAGGACCCCCCAAAAGAAAAGTAGCCAGGCATGGCAGCACACACCTGCAATCCCAACACTGAGGAGGCTGAGGCAGAAGGATCACTGTAAATTCAAGGCCAGCTTGGGAACTGGGAATATAGTTCAGTGATACAAGCACCTGCCTGGCAAGCACAAAGTCCTGTGTTCGATTCCTGATACCAAAAAAAAAAAAAAAAAATGAGGAATAAGACCAGCTTGGGCTACATAGTGAATTCAAGGCCAACCTGAACTATACAGCAAGACCCTGTCTCAAAAAGCCAAAACCAAAACCAACAAAAAAAAAAAAAAGAAAGCAAGAAAGAAAAAAAGAAATTGAATGTAATCCTGTGGAATAAATGCAAAAATGTCACTAAATAACCAAAGAAAGTGCAGGGCAAGCTGTTGGGATTCTATCTTCATCTTTTTTTTTTTTTTTTTTTAAGAATCGAACTCAGGACCTTGCACTTGCCAGGCAGGCGCTTGTGCTGGTGAGCTATATCCCCGGCCCTCCTACAAAATTTTAACTCGACTTTTTTTTTTTTTTTTGTACTAAGAATCGAACTCAGGACCTTGCACTTGCCAGGCAGGGGCTTATGCCACTGAGCTACCTCCCTAGCCCCAGAACTGGCTGTTCTATGCCAGCATTTGTTTTAAAAGAGGCTGTGGAGTGCCGGGTGTGGTGGTGCACACCTGTAATCCCAGCACTTGGGAGGCTGAGGCAGGAGGATCATTGTGAGTTCGAGACCAGCCTGGGCTACAAAATGAGCTCAAGGCCAGCCTGAACTGCATAGCAAGACCCTGTCTCAAAAAATTTTTAAAAAACTTTTTAAAAAATTGTAAAAGAGGCTGTGGAGGAGAAATACAGGGTATGTGCATTACATGCACCTGCATAGTATGTACACACATACATGTGTACAGGCGTGTGCACAGATCATGTGGGCAGACTATAGGGGAAACTGCCATCAGGAGCTGCCTGTGGGAGGAGAGCTCCCTAAAGCTTTTACCCAGGAAGTCTATTTTTAAATTATTAAATAGTTCACACACACAATGTTGCAAGACAATGAACACCAAAAAATGCAAAAACAAAGCCTGGAGTTTGGAAAGTGTCAGACGCGGAAGGGCTTCCAGGGCCAGAAAACCAGAAGGGGCCACCTCAGGGGTCCTCTGCACCCCTTCCCCTTCCATGAGAGGGGAGACCTTAAGAAGTCGGGGTCACCTGACTTCTACAGGCTCACGCCCACCCCCAAGAACCCGCCTGACTTTTGCTGGTAGGTAGTCCTGCGTGGCCTGGGTGTAACATAGCAGCTGCAAGCTGTCTCGGAGCGGCAGGTTGAAGCCTGCCTGAACCTCAGTCTCTTCTTCTGAAAAATGGGGCAATAACTGCCTAATACCGCGGCCGTGAGCAGGAGGATGGATGTGTGTGGAGTGACTGCTGGATGGCGGGGCCCTGCGAGTGGCTATGACCGAGCCCTTCACACCGCGGAGTCTGGGCCAGACCCCCCTTTCTGCACCTCTCCAAAATGGACGCACGGTGGCGCCCGCGGCCCGCAGCGCAGCACGGCCCAGCCTCGGAGGAGGTGTCCGGGAGCTGGGTGGAGTTGCTCTCCGCTGGGAAGAGCGCTGGTTTAGGATTTTGTAGCAAGTTGAACAGTGTCCCCTCCCACAAAAAACTGTCCTCCTGGAACCTGTGAGTCGACCGTATTTGGAAAAGCGGTCTTGGCAGATGTGATTAAGGTAAGGACCCGGGACGAGCTCATCCTGGCTTAGCCAGCTGGGCCTCAAATCCAACGACGAGTCCTTCAGAAAGAGAAGACGCCAACGCTAGACCGTGGCGTGGAACCTAACAGAAGCTGGCA